CTGTGAAACCAATTTTAAACATTTTCTCTGCATCTGGATTTGGGTTGGAAGGAACCAAACGTCTGCCCTCAGCATGGCCCTTCTCCAAACTTTCACCCTTCAATGAACTTCACCAAAGAACAAAATGGAGCAGAAACTAATTTGGGAACAAACAAGGCAGGGGTGTTTGAATTTAAGGTATTTGCTGATTAATGTCAGTGCAGACTGTATCTGTGAGAGCAGATGAAAGAACCGATGCCAAAACTCAACTGTGCACGAGTCCAATTTGAGTTGCACCACACTGCACTTCATATACAGTTATATGAAGTGCAGTACTTTATCCTGAAACAGTTTTATTGTGTATCCTGACACGCACATGGATTTTTGGTGAAATTTCCATGTGGAAGGAATGCAGATGTGTTTGAATAGACTGCAGCTCGCTCTCCGTGAACTCTGTGCAGTTCTGGATGCCTGTGACTGATGTGCTGATTAGCTCAGTTTGAGGTGTGTCCTTTTGTCTGCACCATTTTTAGTTCTCAGTAATGTGTCATGTGATGCAAACACAAAATATCTCTGTGTGTTTTTCCACATATTCACAACAGGTCTGTTGCTAAACCTGCATTTGCTGCTGGTGCCATTTCACAAGTTGCTCCTGACTGGTACCTCTGGCACGTCACATTTTACGAATTTCATATTTTCTCATTATATTCCTATTAAAAACAGTACACGGGCCTTTTTGTACTGTTTTTTTTTTTTTTACCAACTAACTATATTTGCATTTGAATGCCTTAACAAAAACACCATTTAATCTATCAAAAAACTGACGCACTCTCTGCATTTCTTCTGTTTTCTCTGCAGCACACGTGAAAAAACGTTTTTGCAGGACACTGTGCAGGAAACCTAAGTACACCCTTACTGCTGCCATAGAAATCAAGATATTAAGTACCAACCAGGTGCAACTAGTCAATTGTTCTGAATTAACCGATCACCTGGAAGCGTGAGCACCTCTATAAAAGCAAAAATTTTGGCAGTTTGTAGAGCTGGAACATTCAGGTGTGAATGAACATGATGTCACAATTTTCCCAGGAGTAGGCGTCCCCACAAATTCACACCTAGGTCACACCCAGACTGTGCAATACCTGGAGAAAATAATAATAATAATATCATCATCATCATCATCATCATCTCAGACTCTACGCGCCTCAGCATGTAAAACATTAATCTTTGTGACAGCCAAGAAAAAGACGGAACAAGTATGGCTTGTTTGGAAGAGTTGCTTTCTTTAGAAATCTTTAGTTTAGCATTTATTAGCTTCAGTGAAGGAAGAGTTAAGAAATCTCAATCTTAATAAGCAGATGCTTCCCTTATCATTTCATCATTGTTGCACAGGTGAATTTGGCCAAACTGACTAGGATTAAATTGAAAGACTAGTTGCAAGTGCATAATATCATTGTAATTGGTTCTTTTGAGTCATTTTCAGTTTAAATCACATTTTTCCTAAAACCTAGTTTAGTTTAATTTTAATTAGTCATGTCTGGTTCATGTGTTAACAGGTTAACATGAGTTTGTACGAAGCCTAAAGTGTATTAACAACTCTGTGGTGTCACAAATAACTAGGTTAAACAGGGAGCCCTCCTGTCTCCCGTATCCTCCCATCGCCAGAGTGTTAACTGCGTGAGCACTCGGCCCAGCATTGCACCTTAAACCTGTTGACCTCCTTTTCAATGACGCTGCAGACAAATAGCTGCGAGGGGCCGGATAGCTCCACGCTCCCCAGCAGTGTTTGTGGAGCAGACTCAGTCATGTACATGAAACACAAAGTTCACTGGCTGGAGCGGCAGACCACAACCTCATAACTCTCAGAGGTCATACTTTTTTTTTTAAAAAGCAACGGCACAATGAGCGACATGACTCATCACCACAAGACTGCAGGCAGCGTGACCTGATGGGAAACGTGCTTACATCACAACCCAAAACATTTTAAGATGAGAGAACTCACTGAATCTAAACTCTTGTTTTCGCATTCCTCAGACACACACAATGTGCTGTGCAGGTCAAAGGTCAGCATCGGCAACAATGCCCTCGGACCCGCAGGAGTGAGCAGGGTGAGAGAAAGGAGACACCGTCCCGGCTCGCTGGACGAGGTACTGACTGATGCAATGCAGAGCTGGGAGCTTTTATCGGGCCATTATGGCCTCAACAGGCAGAAGATTGGGTTCCCAGGATGCTATGAAATCCTGCTCAGCAGCTATTATGCTGCACAGAACGAGCGGGGAGATAATCCCAGGCATCTCTATTCACACCTGTCCACTAATATTCACATCACAAAGGCAGCTTGTGTGAGCAAGTCTTCATTTGCATAGTTTGGTGTCCCCCCCCAATCCAACAGGAGGAGAAAAGAGAAAACTTTTCACAAAAGGAGTCCATCTGCCGGGCAACCGGTTTCTGGATTTTTGTGTTTCCATCTGTGTGCAAAGCTCACAGGATCTCAAACCATGAGATAAAGCTTCCATAATTAAAGCTGGATTATAAAACTTACAGTTGGGTAAACATTACTTTTAAATGGTGACACAATGCCAAAAAACTTAGAATATTAAGAAGAATATTAAACTAAAACAACAAAAGCACTACGTTTTTTTTCTATACAGATAAAAAGTAGGAGCTGGCGTTACTAATTCATCAATAAACAGAACAATACAACATCAAAAGATGGTAATTTTATATTTTTTGTAGAATCTGAGTGTTATATTTGAGTTAATGAGGTACACAGTAATTGAAAATTGCAAATCTTTACTTTTTCCTGAAGGGGTTACTGCACCAGAGGCAGTGCAGGAAATGACTTCAAACTGCAACTTTAGGAAGTCTGAAAATACTCAAGACAAATTTAAGATGCTGGAGGTTGATTATAGGAGTACACCCTTTAATGGTGAACTCAAACCAGGCAAGTGTGTTTAAACCAGTCCAGTTCAGTAATGAGCGTTTATGCTTCATCGTGCTCGGTTCAGCCCACTAAAACAGATGAGATTGGGAATGGTTCACTGAACTCAGGCGCGGTAATCATCTGGTTTGATTGCACTTCCTTAAGACGAGCTGCTCCGTGCAGTATGACTGAAATGTGATAAATACATGAAGGCAGACGAGAGCACTATACCCAGAAATAAACAAAAAAGCCTCAAAGTACAAAGAATCATGGCGTCCTCTGATCTGTGCACGAGCGCTTTTCTTTAACTGCAAGAAATGCAACAAATGCATTTACATAACTCTGACATAGCTGCCAAACAGATACGATCGTCTAAGCTGGTAACCGTCTGACCCTGCTGACCTTCTGAATAACTGGCACGGGTGTGCGAAAGCATCAGACACGTGTCAAAATGTCCCCGGGGATGCTCCTTCGAAATCACCGGCCTAACTATAACGCGAAACACGTGCATTAATCTCATGTTACGCAGGTTTCTGATTGCCCGACTTGAGGAAAAGTTTGGCTTCCCATTCAGGAAATCTGTCACATTATATTTAGCAGCAGAGGTACTTCAGCAGCTGAAGACAAAAGTCAAAGATTGATCTTTGGCGGCCTGCAGTCACCTGGGCTTTAGGTCTCCATTTGATCACCGCTAACGGAAGATAAGCGGAACAGTTTAATCACTGTTATCTAACTCCAGGTGACGATGCTTGACAAAGTATGATGATCAGAACCTACCAATCAGAGTTGTGGAGTCAGATGAATACAAATGCTTTCAGCAATGAACCTTTTTTTAAACCTGCATAGTATTTGTCATTTTATTTAACACATGTAGTGATCTGCCTTCAGCTGTACATAATTAACTTTTAAATAACAATTAAAAGAGAACATTAACAGGAATTGCAAGGCGCTGACAGGAATTTGGGTATGTAAATAGTTTACAAGCACACTGGGCACAGTGTTGGACTGCAAGCACATCACCATCACATAGCACCCAAGTCTAGTGCACAGAAAACCTGCAGTTTCTTTCATTGGACACTTAAAGCTGAATTCAAAACCAGCAGGTACGTCCATCTTTATACTCATACTCACTATACTTTTAGGGATAAGGACCTGCCTCAGGAAGTTCTACAAACTTTCTCAGACCACAGCACTTCCACGTCTTTCTCCTTCTTCCCCACTCACACAAATCAGCTCACCACCTCATCAGATCACCTACTACCTCCCCCAATAATAGACGGTTCGCCCACTTTACTACATAATGAGCTGCCTATGGGCTCGATCTAGCATATCTGGCGCAGCCCAGAGTGCTGAAGCCCAGCATTACAGCCTGGCTTGTGACCAGTTTTCAAACGGCTTTGCTCGACACTGCTGAGCACCTAATAACAGGATGTGAGGCTCCAACTGACAGGCTGGTCAAACTCCAAGTTGTGCTGCCCCAGGGGCATATTGTTTTGGGTGGCTATCAAACAGGAGAATGAAAGGTGGTCACAGACCAATTTGAAACACATCAGAATATCATCCCCTTACCAAAAAAGAAACCAACAAAAAACAAAAGGGTGGGCATCTATTCCGAGAATTTCTGTGTAATTTGAGTGTTTTTTCAGTGTTGGCCAAGCTTCATATCAGAGTTCCTGCATGTGTCTGAACCACAGGAATCGGCCAGGAGTGCAACATGATTTAAATCCAATAACAATGAATGTGCAGCACACATACTGTACACCTCCACCCTCTCCCACCATCTGAGAACTGCTTTCATTTCTCTCCAGCAGAGGCTCGATTAAACCAGACACATGTATGGGAGGAATTTGGAGTGTAGGAAGGCAAGTGGTGTTCAAATGCAACACACAAAAGCCACTATTTCCTTACAAAAAATAAAAATGCACAAGCATCAAGCATCCACCTATTTCCACACATACAAGAGGCTAACTTTCACTAATACTTTTTTGGGAATACTTTTATTCCCAATAGAGAAAAAACATGACCAATCCCAAAATGGGCCTCCAAATTATACCCATTCTGATGCTAAGGAGAATCTCAGCCCTCTTTTCCCCCGACTCACCTCATTGGATGGTATGTTCACGACACCTGTGGATCTCCTCTTTTCCCTTAACTTCCTCTTCTCGATCTGTCCTTTCCCCTTCCTGGCGCTGGGCCCGGTGCTCTTCTTCTCCTTGCCCTTGCTGCTGGGTGACGGGCTTTCCTTGTCACTGTCGTTGCAAGCCATGGGAGTAGAGTCCTGAGTCTTCTCCGGCTGAGGCAGGGCCTTCTTCAGGTTGCTTCCCGGCGTGGCTGAGGGTGTCACGGGGTGGTGCATTTCCTCCTCGGGCCTCTTTAGAGAAGTGCCAGAGGAGGACCGATCAACCGCGTAGGAGGAGGGGTGGCAGTTCCCAGCGGAGGAGCTTCGGTCCGGGTTGCCGTTGTTGGTGAACTCGGTGGCCGAAGGAAGAGGAGGAGGAGATGGAGGAGGAACGGCGTTGCGGCTGCTGTTTGTATTGCTGGCACCCAAGGGAGTACCAGTGGCTGCTGCAATGTCCCCCAGCATTTTGGCTCTCATTTTCTCCCGTTTTGCCTTCCACTCCTCCAAAAAGTCCGTCGCGGCGCTTGACTTGAATCCGCCTGTGGCCATGATCCCTTTTTTCTGATAAGTTCAAAGTCGAAGGGAGGAAAAAGTAACTAAAAAGTTGAAGTTGATATGAATTTTCAGCTCTCGGTCGCCGTCCTAATTGCACCACATTCCTCAAGTGATTAACTCGGGAGCTGCTGAAAGGTAGAATGAAAATAAAAAGTCAGGACAAGTAAACTTTCAGCTGTTCATTATGGAGGTGTTTTCACCTCCACCTCGCGACACTCCGCGTGCAGGACAGGTTTTGTTTAAAAAGAAAGTTTACAAAGTCCGTTTATCTCTAAGGTAACTTTCCGCCCGAAAGAAGAAAGTCAGAGTGTGGAGAAGTTGACGAGAGAAGAACAAAGGTATAAATTCAGGTAGAAACCCACCTGAGTGGAGCTGTCTCGGTCGCTGAACTGCTCTTCACGGTCCAACCAGGTGTGCCCGAGCTGCTCTCACATGAACTGCTGTAGTCTGCGGAGCTGGGACCCGCCGTGCTCGCTCTGCCCCTCTGAAAACACCGGCTTGAATCCCGTAAGTGCGCGAACACTTCCGACTAAAGCCGAAGCAGAGGAGGGGCGCTGTGTAATAACTCTTTACTGTTCCCACAGGTGCTTTCAGGTTTAAGGTCATTTGTTAAAGCTTTTACAATACTTATTGGCGATATTTCCATAAAAATAAAGGTTAATATAGTTAATTATTTTTATCATAACATTTCTGTATTTTCATGCTTCCTTATATGTAAGTTGTGTAAAGTGTATATGTACAAAGTTTCAAGCAGCTCAGATTCTTTTATTCTGCTTGTATATATTTATATCTTTTTCAGTTTTAATTCTCATATTATTATTATTATTATTATTATTATTATTTATTTTTAATTTTTTATTATTATTATTTTTTACAATTGTTTCTGTTGTTTTTAAATCACCAGCTGGTTTATTTACCTAATTTTCTATGTGGATTATTTTCTGTTTGCCCTTTGTTGTCATTGCACAGGGGAACATATTTCTTCACTGTGAATATGACAATAATTTTCTATAATTTTGAAAAGTATTTATCTATCTATGTTGCAAAAAACTAGCCAAGACCAGTAAAATGACTGCAAAGCCCTCCTTACCTTTCTTTAATAAGTGTAAAGAAAGGAAAGAATTGGTTCCATTGTCGGTTAGAAATTTGATAAACATTTTCATTTGTATAAGATCTGCATTTATGCTCTTTAGATTAGCTTTGGGGCCTTTTTATTACCTTGCTGTAAGAAGAAAAAGTGTAAAGAAGAAGCATTTTCTCCTTTGATGAGCCACCCAGTTACAAAAGCATGATTAACTGCCTCACAAGAATAAGGGCAAGGTCTGCTGTCATAACATGTGCATGCATATTTAACAGTGCAAAAGCAACAACTCTTCACACGTACAGTTTCTTTTGTAATAAACATTCGTATTTTACTTCTTTATGATCTGAACACTGTCTCTAGGTCTAGAATTCTGTTCACCCCTGTGTAGTTATGCTGGCTTTGCATCACCACTCAGCAATCGAAATTCATTTTTTACAATTTCATTGCTGTTTTCATACTTTTTTTTAGCCATCGGTTGGTCAAATTGGACCCTCTGGTGGGTCCAGACCTGTCCTTGAAAATCCATCCACTCCTTGCTTTAAGAGCTTTCTGTAATTCAATGAAAACTTTCTATTTTGCTCTGAGAGTTGAGTGGAAGTTTGAGACTTTGAAAATGTGATTGTTAAAGTCCCTGTACACCTCTGCGGCTCTGACTTGTGTCAACAGCAACGGTGTCGCTGATTTCACGTCTTCAGTGACCCTTTGATATTTGCACAGTCACAGTGCAACACTTCGGCACAAGGGCATTTCTCAACAACTTCTCTCACGCAGGTCCCACAGAGTCCCTTAGGCACCTGATAACTCACCCAACCAGCTCTGATCAGATGAAAAACCTGCTTTCAGGGAAACTTGATCCCTGGGTAGGGTGAGGGCAACTTTCGATGACTGAGCAGTTCATTTCATCTTATTTTTGTTATGACTTGACAGTTTACAAAAAATGTGCGCTGCTCAAAGTTGAAACTTCGTTGACAGCGGGAAACTTCACTTTAAAAATCGACATGCAATTATATCTGTACTCAGTTGTTGCTCTGAAATATCCGAGTCCTCAAAGTACCGAATCATGCGTTCAACAGACAGAACACATGTTTGATAACAATAATAAACCTCCATTACATTAAAAAAAAAAAAAAGAGCAAAAATGAATGTTAGTGTGAACACTTTCAGTGTGTTTCTTAGACAGGAACAGTCCTTCTAGAAGGAATCCTTGCACCTCGGCATAGTGAAAAGCCTTCAGGCACTTACACGGCCACTTTGTTAGGTACAAACTGTTCAACTGCTTGCTAACAGTACTATCTACTCAGCCAATCACATAACTGCAGCTCTATGCATTAAGACCTGTACACATGGTCACAATGACATGCTGAAATTCAAACCGAGCATCAGAGTGGGGAAGAAAGATGATTTCGCTGACTTTGAATGCAGCATGTTGTTGTTGGTCTGAGTATTTCAGAAGCAGCTGTTTTCCTAGGATTTTCCCATACAACGATCGACAATCTCTGAGGAATGCTTCCTCAGTTTTGTTGAATCAATTCCATAACGAATTAAGGCCAAAAAAAACAAAACAACAACCTGGTACCGGCAACATGCACCTAATAAAGTGGCCGGTGAGTGTATTTAGGGAGTTGTTTTGATGCAGCAAATTAACTAAACTTTTTATGATCATAAAAACAGCGTGGATGATTTCTGAGCCCAAATAAGTCTCAGGATTGTTTGCAATTTCTTAAACATCACAAACTAACTCAAGAAATTCAATTTTAGCTTAGTTTACAAAAAAAAAAGAGAGCAAGATTTCAGTTACACTCTTCATATGTGGCATCAGCAGATTTTCACCTAAATACTAAAGTGGGTATGTCTCAGAGTCTCAAATTTTCTTCTGAACTTACATTCCAAGTGAGAGCAGTGACGCATCTTGTTTTTCCTTTTCTCCTGAGAACTGGGCTCGTGAGGTGACAGGTTTGTGATTATACACCCCTTAGAGGCAGGGTAAAATCAATAAGATAATATTCATCTTGTAGTTGCTCGACCAATAAATAATCCACAGTCACAGCCTAAAAAAAATCCTGCGGATGATATTACTGACAGCTCGCTGGTTTTCCAGTCCCTCTGATAATTTCCTGGTTCATGGAGAATATTTCTAAGATAGCAAAATGCAGATGTTTGTAACCTGAGAGAAAAGATAAGCCACAAGCAATCTTCATGATTTGTGTTTGTAGCTTTTTGTAAATGATGCGG